TAGTAGACGTTGGCCGAGTCGTTCTTTCACTAGCACTCAAGCAGAATGATGGGATCTAATATGGGTGTCGTACATGCGAGGTCGGGCTGGGGACTCGGGTCTTCTAAACAACTGTAGTCACTCGCGATCGGATTGGGCCCTATGCTTATTTGAGTGGCACCTTTTGGAGTTCGTGGTGCAAGGATTGGCCATGGCAGGTGCCTACGCGACAAGGCGAGTGGCTTGGGGGGTTGTGCGCTTGTTGTCCCAACATCTCCATCATGGTGAGGATACAATCAACTTTTTGCTACATGGCGAGGAACTGTATGGGGTCAACTGTTGCTTGATATTGAGGCTCCCGAAGTAGGGAGCTGTGAAGTGAGCGGGATCCCCAAGATGGGGAATAAGCTCTGGAACGGTCAAATGTGTTCTTAGGCATGGTTGCTTTTAGTACACAAAAAAGGGTTTGGAAAATAACTTTTTATATGTTTTTCACAGACGATGCCAATCCGAGGTGTTTCGAAACGAGGACACAGTCAGATAATCCTGTCAACTGGATGAGGCTAAGGTGGAATGTCGAAACTGTGCACCAAGGTCTGCAACTAGGAGAAAGGTCAAAGGCCCAAGGAGTTGTTCCTCGGGTAGGTACTCTGACGCTCAAGTTAGTAGGATCAAGAAGGATGTGGTCGGGCCAAGCAAGTTGAAATGGTACTGGTCTGGGCCGAAGATATAGTACAAAGAAGTATTCAAAAGAGTGCCATCCCAAAAAAAGGTCCTTACCTCGAGAAGGGAATACCTATTTATAGTTGGGTGCCCATGTCCGAAATGGATAGGGCTTCTGGGGTTGTCAAGATGAGGGTATGTGCCAAGGTCTTCGAGAGGTTTCCTCTTTCTTGACGGATTTCGCTTCCTTGTCCGTATAGGACACTCCTTCTTAGTCATGTTTTTTGTACTCGAACATCTGGTACAAAAACTTATATTTTTATAAAATAATATATTTCTTATTTATTTTTAATTTTGACTTAATTTGCTAGGCTAAGGCTCCAACGGGAGAGCAGCCGGTCGTACATATCACGTGAAGCACGTGAAGGCATGAAGTAATGCAACCAAAGCCACATGCAGGGTGAATTGCTGACGTGTGAGGCCCACGTTGAATATCAGGGTGACGTGGCGCATCAATGGTAACTCGTACCGCCCTGAGTGTTCCTGTTTCCGAATATACGAACGATAATAATTGTAGGAGTTGGGACCTTCTGCTTTTATTAGGTATCAGATCCATACGCTCCAACATTTGTCAATATGATCTATCATCGTACATCTCACTCGTGATAACAGTGAGTGCGACCCACCATTTACAAAGCTAGACCATGGAGACCGGAGAGCAAACAAGAATGGGACCCGCCGTCCACCTCCAGGATCCCTCTCTTTTTTGGAGATAAATGTTTGTCGGGGCTACCCTGGATGTGGATCCCATTCCCATCAAAATTATTGTCACGTTTTATAACTTGTTGACGTGGACATTCCAGTACAATTTTGTCACAGTCAACAGCACAATTATTACAATTTTGCCATTCTCTTTTTTATTTTACAATTTTGTCTCATTCTTTTCAAAATTATTGGGCTTTTTGCACATTATAAAATTCGGAAAAGTAGGGATTTGCCCGATGCAGATTTTTTATTAACATCGTAGGGATATAAACATTCAAATGGACCAATATTAACATCGTAGGGATTTGCCCGAGTTGGCACCTATCCCGAACATTAAATGTACAAATTCTGACATTAGGGGTATCCGTCATTCTCCATATAAAATTTCTTCATTTGACAAATTCAGTTGTCTTTTCAAAATAATTGCAAAAAAGTGGGCGGAAGAAATTTTTAATGTTAGAGTTTTACCATCCACTCCACAATTTGGGATGCCAGATTCAAGGGATGGTATTTATAGGGGGAGCTGGTAATAAATACAGTTTGAGAAAATTCCAATTCTGAGGTGGATTGAACATTAAAAATCTCTTTAATTAATTAATTTTTTCACTCCAAAAATCTATGATACAGAAAAGATACAGTATAGAAAGGGTTTTATCAATCAAAATCCACCCATAAATTTTATTCACTATCATGTTTATGATTCTGATTTATTGATCAGTTGTTTTTCAGATATTATACCTTTTCCATATCATAGTGGAACCCTTATGACTATATATATTTATATTATATTTGCAGGCATGCACACCACATATATAAATCGAAGGCACAACCAGTTTGGCCTCTTCTTTAAAACATTGATCTCATTATTAGAAATAAAGATCATTTTGTGAATTCACATCAGGCCCCACAAAGGGGGCACCGTCCCAACCCTTTACTAATCTCATCTAACACCACACATCTCACCATGGGAATGAGACCCATCATAAATGAATAAGATGTGCGAGTTGAAATCAGCCCCCCAAATAAGATGGTTTCCCATAATGTCCCACACCACATCCTCGCCATGTATTGATAACATTTCCCGATGATGCTTCATCATTTCTTTTACTATCACCGCAGGGATATACTGTGGGATGTTGTGGGAAACCATATTGTGGGGGGCTGATTTGAAGTTTTGAACTCGAGATGTGCGGTCTCAATTCATGTTGGTAGATCCAGACTCTCTCTCTATCAGCTCCAATTATCTGGATACAACTCACACCAAGGGTAAGAATAAATCTAATCAAATGATCCAGGCTACTTGCCAAAACAACCCAAAACCAAGATCTAATCAATTTTGACATCCAGGTGCTCTATAGCTTGCTAAAAAAAACTCAAAATCAAAAAACCACAAACATATTTCAACATCAAAAACCTTTGAACACAACTTTTATTCACTATCAGACCGTTTAATAATGGCTGAAATCGTTCTTTTAGTAGGAAAATTCATTACAGAGAAGATACAGCAAGACAAGCCACCCAACAAAAGGCGTACAAGCCAGAGGGTGGTTCGGATTCTAAAAACACAGTGAAGATTCCTTCTACGAGCCATATTCGCAAGGTTATGAGACACAGTGTTTTCGGATAAATTTACATACAAAATGATACAGAGATCAAAAACACAGTATTCGCAAGGTTATATTGAACCTGTGTTGTTAACACAACATGACAACAAAAAAAAAAAAAAAATCTGTGCTGTAATTCTGATCTGCTCTGCTCAGTGCCGTAGCAACAATTCAATTGTTTAGTCATGGATTGTCCCTTGTTATAGTGAATAAAATAATCATATAGTAAAAAATTAAGCATATTCTAACCAACCCAACATGCCATTCAGTAATAAGGATTGCCTAAAAGGGCTAAGCAATTATGTTTAGTTCAACTACTTCGGCGGTTATCCCACAATTCCTAAAGCCACTTTGGGCCAAAACATGCATGGATTGGGGGATAAGATAGATGTTAGAAATAAGTTACAACCAATTAAACATCTTTAAATATGTTAGAAATAACTCGTTACTTAGAAATTGTATACAACATCTTAAAAAGATGCAGACCTAGATATGAAGAAAATATTAGAAATCACATTACAAACATTTGGGCAATGTACAAAAGTGAAGAAGAAAGAATTCCCATGTAATCAGAACTTAGATAAGTAAGCATTGATCAGTCAAATTAAAACACACAATCACAGTCTTTTATACATTGGCATAAAAGACACCCCTTGTATTTCTCTAATTAATACTTTCTTTTATTTCATTTTTTTCCTCATATTTTCATTTCCACTTTTTTCTTCAATCCTTTTGCTTTCGCCCATATGTAGAACAAAAAAGAAAAGGTCCAAAAACAGTTAATTAGGATGCTTGCTTCAACCAATTCAACCTTGATTGCTGCAAATGGAGATTAGACAAGATCACATGAATAATATCTGCTAACCCAAGTAATAAAAACATATTTAGAATAAAATAATATAGCCACAAGGATTCTATACATCAAGGCCCAAGTATGAGAGTTGAATCTGAAAATTTTCATCAACAACTATAGTTAAACAGACGATTGAGATCAGATCCCTTGCCAACTAATTGTGAAATATTTTAATGACAGAATCTTTTAAAGACCAAAGATATCATGTTTCACTGTGATTGAAATCTGTATCCTTTGGTTCCAAGTTATAGAATAATGCCAAATAGACAAATTACATACCACATGAATAGAAATAGGCTGTATTTGATTCAGGGAATTGGAGGTTCAGGTTAGAAATTGAATTCAGTTAGGACATTCATCCCTCCCTCCCCACAAATATTGCCCTTCATCGCCATGCAGACTGTATATTTCTTCAACAATTTATAAATTGGAAAGCTCTTCAAATTCCACAGAAAAAGAAAAATGAAAGAAAATCGAGGCATCATTAATCATTTTTTTTTTATCAGTGAGGCATCTTTAATCATTGTTCTCAAAAGATTTACTCAATCCAGTCATGCAAAGCAAAAGGTTGAGTAGACCCTATCATTTCGATAGTCGAATAACCCTGTCAAAAGATTTACTCAATCGAGTCTTTTTTTTTTTGTTCAAATAAGAAAAAAAAAAATAGAACAAGCTACCAAGGTTCAGTGACTGTGATAATGAAAATATCCCAATTGCCATTTTAAAGAACACGGTAACAACATGGTTCTTCAGTTGGAATCATTGAGTATCACAGTCTCTAAACAAGAACTGACTTCCTTCATCATTATAATTGTTTTTTAAGGTTGGCCCGGTTGGGGTATTTGGGTAGAATCACTCTTCAATGGATGTGATCCGTGGTGAAGTTAAAGAAACAATTGATTTGTAGGAGAACCATAGAGAATGAGGTTTTCTGCTACTTATCAGGAAAAGGAATCATTTCATGACTGTTTGAACTTTGAAGTCACTACCAGTTCTTGTTCTCCTAGCTGCCATCAAAGCAAACTCCTGATTGTCATTTATACACCAAAATGGCAATTCCATGAAATTCAAATTACTTAAATTGGAATTTCTTGACCCAATTCCAATTTAAGAAACAAAACAAACCGTACACACAGTTTAACCATCTTAAACGCAGCAGTGAGGCATAAAAACCCGAGACAGGTTTTACAGTACTAATTAATATTCATTCATAACAAGTTCTCAATTACAATGATATTGAAGAAAGGAATGAAACATTACATAGACCAGATGCCTGCAATACCTATGTGATCACTGAAGAAGAGTACACTTCTCCATGAAGTGTACTTAATCTACCTCATTTTTATTTCTTCATTCAATCCAACTTCGTTTCTTTCTTGTATGCTTCCAATTCATTCACCCACAGCTCAGCGAACTCACAATTCTTGTAGGACTCAAACCAAGGACCACCAGAAGTATAATGTATGGCCTTAGGGGATGTTGCCGGGTCGTTCTCATCGACGTTGTTATGACCCACTAGAAAATTCCATACAAATGGGATCGACCCAATCTCATGATCCTCGAGCCACATAAATCTGTGAAGGTAAGCACCTGTCTGTGAATTCACCACGTCGGGCGTCAAGATCCGATTTTTCGGATGTCCACAGTTATAAAGCACCATGGAAGACCAGTTCTTTCGTGGGTAAACAGTCTGCACAACCCCATCCATCTTGGTGCTTTCTTTGGGCGCATAATCGTGCTGAACGCACATAATTGCGTACTTATCATCGACCAGATCCTTCAATTCCTTTATATCTGCCGTGTAAAGAAAGTCACAGTCCACGAACATTACCCAGCCATCGAAATTGGCAAGATATGGAGTCAAGAACCGAGTGAAAGAGAACTCTGTGCTCTCAGTCGAGCCACGCTCACGCCAGTAAAGGCCCTTGCTCCTCAGATCCTGCTGCTTGATGGGTATGACCTCCACCGGAATCGAGGACCGCTTCAGCAGCGAATAGCGGCAGACCTCGAAAGCAATATCCTCGCGGGGATCATATCCCACGAAGACCTTGAAAGTCTTCTTTGCATCGCCACTGCAAGCTGGGGCATCAACCTTTCCGTTACTCAAAGTCATCTCAGCCGATTCCAAAAACAGAAGCCTTATATCTGGAAAGACGAAAAACAGACAGAATTAGTGTCCAATTCCTGCAAACAGAAACGCACAACGTGATTCTATTCTTCGCTCCTTCAACTAAAAACCTTCATAGAGAAAAAGAAACAAATTGGTAGAGACCAAACAATGAAAATGTACATTCGAGCTTTCAGTACAAGTTTTTGAATAACAGAATCACCGAAATGGAATCAAATCGAGCATACATAACAATCTCAAGGCGAAAATGCAGATAAAAAACAGTCAAAAGGTGGACGAATTTCGTTGAAAACGAGTTGAAAAGGCAAAGACCGAGAGATTTAAGGGGGGAGAGAGGGGGGAGAGAGGAGGGAGGAGGAGAGTACCAAGAGAAGAGAGTGTGTTAGTGAGAAACTCGAGAGCACTGGCTTTGAGTTTTGATGGAAAAGCGCGGATTGAGGGGTTGGACTTATATAACAACATCGGCCACGAGAGTTCCTCTTCGCCATCTGTTAACGCACTCTGTTAAGAGAGTGCGTACGAGATTCACTTCTGATGCCTTCTTCTGTGCTTCGCGTTTTCCCGCGCCTAAAGATTTCTTTTCCTTGTGCGGTAAAAACCGCCCACCGATACAAACGGATTAACAAAATAACGTATCCTACGTTTTGTAGGACTATGCTTGGGAAATTGAAAAGGATGTGGTATGAGAAATTGCCCGTTTTGCTGTTTTATATCAATTGTATCAAATAGAAAATTTGAGAAAATGTTTTCTTTCAGCACCATTTTTAAAGAAAACATCTCTTAAAAAACAGCATCGATCCCAAACACCACGTAAAATAAAAGAGTTCAGCTAATCCCATCTCTATTCTAACGCGCTAAGCCGCTAACAATAGAAAAGGCTGCACCGCACTGCCAAGCGCAAAGGCTGGAGTCCATACTTTGTGAGCAATTCAGTAGCACTAAAATTGGGTTTGGGTACTCTTGGGTCTGCTTGTGACTGTTCATCAAAACAAATATAGGCTAAGTGTTCAGATGATGGCTGAGTTGGCCAGGGAGGCCACGTGGCAGCTTATGCAGCTGTCCTCTATTTAGCCATGTCGATATCATGCATAGCAAAAAAGTACAACTAAAGAGTGTCTTATACAAACAAGGAAGCAGACTTTGCTAGGGAAAGGGAAACCTCCCATAAACCTTGGCAGAGGATCTCATCCCAACAACCCCAGAAGCCTTATCCATGTAGGACACAAACACCCAATTATAAATAGGTATTCCCCGCTTGAGGTACGAGACTTTTGAAAAATTTTCTCTAAGTATCCTTGCATTATCTCTTCGACTAAGACCAACATTATTTTCACCTGCTCGACCCAATTACCTTTATCTTTTCAACTAACTTGAGCGTTGGAGTACCCACCTGGGGAATAACTCCTCGGGCCTCTAACCTTTCTCCAGGTTGTAGATCCTAGTGCACGGCTTCGTCCTTCCACCTCGGCTTAGTTCAGTTGCTAGGATTATCTGATTGTGTCCTTGGTTCAAAACACCTTGGATCAGACAACATCAAATTGGCACCATCTGTGGGAACCGTACAAAAAGTCGTTTCCCAAACATCCTTCTGCGCACTCAAGACAACCATGCCTAAGAACACATCCAACTGCTCTGGAGCCCATTCCCCATCTTGGGGATCCCGTTCATTCCACAACTCTCTGCCCCGAGAGCCCTAGTTGTTAGACAGTTTTGTATGCCCTTAGCTTCGATCTGATTTGATGTACTTTTGATATTTAGTGTAAATAAATAAAGTGCATGTTTGATTCATGTTGTTTGGTATAATTCTGTGTAAGACCCTAAAACTAGACACTTATTGAGACTCGTGTTAGTTTTAAATGTTAACAGCCATTGGATAAGTCTGGGGAGATTTATCTTACCAAGGCTAATACTGGTGTGCCGCCAAGTGTTGGGATGGCCTATCTCGGCCACCAAGGTAAGACCCAAGGCACATGCAGTATGGGATTACTCGAATCCTTGAACCGGACCAGATTTCCAVTRTTGCCCTGGACCTTGGAGACAGATGGGCAAAACTGGAAAGTTACACCTGACCCCTAGACTCGATTATGACACTTCACTAGGTGTCAGACCGGGCTGTCTTTGATATGCCAATTAGTGAGATCCTTAGCGGGGGTCAAAACCTGGGCATGTTGGGGCAGTCTGAGAATTCATCTTAGTGGGTGATCATAGTGACAGGATCAGCCCCTTTGTCGGACAAAGGTAATGATCGGGAATGCACTCTCCCTGATGGAAACCAAACTACCGGCAGTTGATTTCAATCGTTGGAATTTTGTTTTGCAAAATTTTATATATATATATATATATATATATATATATATATATATATACATACGGTTTCGAAATGTTTGCAAATGGTTTTAATTCCC